CCCCCCCCCCCCCCCCCCCCCCCACAAAAAAAAACCCGCTTACCGGGAACCTGCTCTTCTGTTTGTCCTCCACCAAGTACCGGCCGCTGCGACTGGCTACCTTCCTCCTGGCTCGAGAAGAGCTCCTGGCTGCATGGCTCCAGGGATTCCGGGGTGTCTCCATCCGGCCCACCACCATCACTCCCGTTTTCCTCCTCCTCCCTTCCCCACACCGGCTCCGAAGTGTCCATGGTGGTGCTCGGATTGGAGGTGGGGTTAACCCCAAGTATCGCATCCAGCTCTTTGTAGAATCATCAGGTCGCGGGGGGAGCACCCGAGTGGCCGTTTGCGTCGCGAGCTTTGCAGTAGGCACTCCGCAACTCCTTCACTTTAATCCTGCACTGCAGGGCGTCCCGGTCATGGCCCTTTTCCACCATGTCCTTTGATACCTTCCCGAAGGTATCATAATTCCTACAGTTGGAGCGCAGCTGGAACTGTACAGCTTCCTCCCCCCAAACACTGATGAGGTCCAGCAACTCGCCATTGCTCCATGCTGGGGCTCGCTTGGCGCGTGGAGGCATGGTCACCTGGAAAGATTCGCTGATAGCACTCCATGCCACGCTGGGCTGAGCAAACAGGAAGGGGATTTTAAAAATTCCCGGGGAATGTAAAGGGTCGGTCACATGGTTGGTTACCTGAGGCCATGGCAGTAGAGTTTGAACTGATGACCAGAGTGGCTAGAACAGGCATTGTGGGATACTGCCGAATAATTCTGGAGGCCATTCACAGTGCATTGGGCGGCCACACTGGCGCCGCAGCGCTGCAGCGGCAGCGCAATACTTGCTATTCCTCTCGGAGAGGTGGAGTACATGCAGCGCCGCAACCACGGAGATACAGCGCTGCAAATGCCTTGCCAGTGTGGACGGGGAGTGAGTTACAGCACTGGTGGAGCCTTTACAGCGCTGTAACTCGCAAGTGTAGCCAAGGCCTGAGTAACTAACAAATCATTTGACTTTCATGTGTAGATTTCCAACAATGCAGTAACCGCTCTTATTTAAAGTGACATACACTTTCATGACAATATTTAAAAACTTCAGTGTAAAACTCATAGCATTAAATACAAAATATGAATAAAGCCAATATACATATAATTACAAATTGCATCACAAATGTTTTAATGCATATTTATACATTTTTGCATTTTTCTCCACTTCCACTGAAGCTCCCAAAAAAGTGGACTGTGGTGGTTGTTTTTGTGATGTTGTGTTTTGTTTTTTACTTAAAATTGAATAAAACTATTTTACAGAGGCTAAAGAGCCATGAGATGATGACTTTCAGTCATAGTTTACCTGAGCCAATTTGAACAAAATAACTTACAAATGAAACACTCCATCTCTTAATTTGTTGAGCCATCTAGTCCCCAAAAACGTGTGTGTTTTCCCTATTTGCTTGTGTGCCATTAATTTAGATAAGAGCACCTACGCATAAGGTCTTTTTACTATTTGTATAAATCTGAATAAGTATCTATGTTATCTAGTTATTTAGCTTGATTTCACATAAAACAAATTCCTGATATTATATCTTACCCAAATAGGGTAAATCCATACATTTTTATTAAAGTACATACAAAAAAGCCTTTGTCTATCAGTGTTTTAGTCAAGAAAGTGCCTAACAGGTGTGCCCCGTGTGTACAACTCTAGGTCGTATCTGTGTACTTAGTGACAAAAGTAGCATTTATCACTTATTCTTGCTAGCATAGATGAGCCAATATGGTTTCTCTCCTCCAACTTCACTCATCAAAAGAATTATATTTCAATTTGTAGAATCTTTTTTGCTGGTGATTATGTATGAGGCATAGACACGGTTTGACTTTTAGCCCACAGACTGAAACTCTGTAGTTGTAAATTTAACAAAGTGACTATTGAAGTGACTGAGACAAAACAGATGCTCATGGATGCCATTTTTACTGAGTTGGACCACATGTGGAAGAAAAAAAAACACCCAAAGGAAGTCAGATGTACTCTTTTTCAGTTTACTTAAGAGTTCAGGCCATTTGAGTAACAAAATAAGACCAGCAAAAGATCTGTAATTGTCTGTTTGTAGCTTTGTATGCATTCTTTTTTTGAAGAACGTGCTCATCTTGCATGACTGCAAAAACTGTCCAAAACAGGCCTTTTACAAGGAAAGTTAGCATTAAGATGCAGTAGCTCAGTTGTGTATTTATATGAAATGTGAGGTAGATGTTGCTTCAGGGACCACAGCATGTGAATTCAGGAATCGGAGAAGGAAGAGGTAAAAGGAAACAAGCTGTAGTACAATTGAAAGATAAGAACAGTTAATCAAAGAAGCCTACCTTTTGAAGACTAGTTGGGTTCAATTGTGTTTTGTCAATTATTTTTATTGCAACCTAGAAGAAAAAAAGTTTATGATCAATATTTCCAGTTTAGATCTGATTGGCTTGTAACATGGTTACAATTGTTTAGTTTTAGAAATGCAAGGCATGAAATCGGATCAAGAAGATTAAACAGATATAGTTTTATTAATAAAACATTCTGAATAAAAGTATTTGGAACAAATGACTCCTAAAGAAAATAAAAGTAGGCTTCAGTTCTGTTGGATGTATTGGACAAAAAACAGCACTTAATGGTATTACAGCAGAGTAAAGTTCAAATGGTAGGAAGAAAGATGTATTGCAATGCAACTTAAATTCTAAATACTGTATTGCAGGGAAGTAATTTTCCTCTAGATTATAATCTTATAAAATACCACCTATATACTGGCAAACTGTGAAAATGTTTTAAAAGCAAAAGTTTCATAGCAAATTACAGGTATTGCTATACAAACTTCACAGCAGTTAAATTGACCTTTGGCCATTCACTGAAGATGTATGTGCTCAGCGTCAGTATTCTATTAATGTTATTCCCTTCTTGGTAAGAAGAGAAATGGCATCTTATATACAACAAAAAAATGAATTACATTGCACAAATTTAAACATTCATTCTTTTATCAGGTTTCCATCTTCTCTGAAAACATTGCACAAACATTTTTGAATCAATTAATTCTTAAAAACTGAAACTGATCAAGTGAAAATTCAGTGCCAAGGCTGCCACACACTAGAAGACATGAAAGGATCTCCAAATCAAGAGTGTGCAGGGGAGTAAGGAAGGGGAGACACTCTGTTTCAACTGAGGTACAAAATAAGTTAGACAGCTTCTTATGACTAAAAGGAGCCCATTTATAGAAATTATCAGATCAGACCCAAAATCCATTTAGTCTTGTATCCTGTTCTCCAATGATGGCCAGTACTAGATGCTCCAGAGAAACGTGTACAAAACTCACAATAAGCAGATGTTTCATTGAGCTACCTACAACGATACCAGTCCCTTCTCCAAGTTAAATTTAGGACCTTGTAAGATGTATGAATAGGGTCCTACCAAATTCAGGGCCATGAAAAATGCGTCACGGACAGTGAAATCTGGTCTTCCCCCGAGAAATCTGATCTTTTGTGTGCTTTTACCCTATATTATACAGATTTCACGGGGGGAGACCAGAGTTTCTCAAATTGGGGGTCCTGACCCAAAAGGGAGTTGCAGGGGGGGGTCACAAGGTTATTTTAGGGGGTCGCAGTATTGCCACCCTTACTTTTGCGCTGCCTTCAGAGTTGGACAGCTGTGCGCCGGGCATCCAGCTCTGAAAGCAGCGCCCCACCAGCAGCAGTGTAGAAATAAAGGTTGCAATACCATGCCGTGCCATGCCATACTTACTTCTGTGATGCTGCCTTCAGAGCTAGGTGGCCAGAGAGTGGCGGCTGCTGACTGAGGGCCCAGCTCTGCAGGCAGCAGCGCAGAAATAAGGGTGCCAATACCATACTATGCCATCCTTACTGCGCTGCTGCAGGGAGCATCTCCGCCTTCAGAGCTGAGCTCCCAGCCAGCAGCTGCTGCTCTCTAGCTGCCCAGCTCTGAAGGCAGTGCCACTGCCAGCAGCTGTGCAGAAGTAAGAGGAATAGTACCACAAAACCCCCCACAGACACACAATTCCTTTTTGGGTCAGGACCACTACAATTGCAACACTGTTAAATTTCAGATTTAAATACCTGAAATAATTAAATTTATGATTTTTAAAATCCTATGGCCATGAAATAGACCAAAATGGACAATGAATTTGGTAGAGCCCTATGTATGAATAGTGTACATTTTTCCTCCAGTCTTTATTATTTTCTATTTATCAACACAACTTCATTTGCCATCATGTTCCTCATTCCTCACCAGTCCTCTCTGGTCTTTACTAACCAAATAATTTTGTGTTAGCTGCAAATTTTGCTACTTCAAGGCTTTCCAAATAATTTAATATATTCAACACTGATCCTAGTACAGGACCATGAGGCACCCCACTGTTTAGCCATGAAAACTGTCCATTTAATGCTATTCTGTTTCACGTCACCTAATCAATTTTTGATCCATAACAATACTTTGCCTCTTACTGCATGACTACTTAGTTTCTTTAACTATCTCTTGTGAGGGACCCTCTCAAATGCCTTTTGACAGTCTAAAATTGTCAACTTAATCTCTTTTATCCACTACTTTACTGACACATTTGACGAATTGTAATAGATTAGTGTGCCTGTTGTCCTTTGCAGAAACAGTAGTGGTTAGATTTAGATACAATGATCTTCCAGGTGTTCACTATTCTATTTTTAATTACTATTTCAACTAGTTTGCCAGGAATAGATGTATGTGTGACAGTGTACCCCATAAGGCTTTATGGGGGGGTGTGCTTATAAATGTATGTATGATATAACTGGAATAGGGTTTTGCTGCATATCTATGTAAAGGTTATGATCTACTGATTATGTTCATCCTAGTTGTATGCAGGCACCATTTGTGTATTCAAAGTTATGAACATTGGCTGTATAATTGCTTGATTTCTAAGTAGCCTTAGTTAGAACATTTGGTCACTTCTTGGGAAAGGAATATGCAAATTAGATGCCCAATCAGGGAGCACTTAACAGACAAGAGAGCTTGGAAGACTCCAATCCACATAAGAAGTCTACTTGAGGACCTTCAAGGTAGCATGTGGGTAATGGCTACTACCTGCAAGTCCTGAGTCATGCATGGGCATGTGACTTGCCCATGTGATTCCGAACCTCCATTTTGTGACTGGATTCTACACAGGGTGAGGAGGGGGGTCTCCACCCACAAGAGAAAGTCTATTTAAACCCGTAGGAGACCCCTCCATTGTGTCTTCAGCTGGCTAACGAAGGAGCCCCCCCAGGATACTTGAAGGAAACTGGAACAAAGGACAGTAACTACAGGGGGTGTGAGTGATTGCTGGACCCAGGCTAAAAGGAGATTAGCCTGTAAAAGGGAGCATTCTGGAACTGGTGAGGATCTTATCTGTATTTAGTTTGATTAGACACAGATTTGAACATTTTATTTTATTTTGCTTGGTGACTTACTTTGTTCTGTCTGTTACTACCTGGAACCACTTAAATCCTACTTTCTGTATTTAATAAAATCACTTTTTACTTATTAACTCAAAGTATGTATTAATACCTGGGGGAGCAAACAACTGTGCATCTCTCTCTATCAGTGTTATAGAGGGCGAACAATTTATGTGTTTACCCTGTATAAGCTTTATACAGGGTAAAACGGATTTATTTCGGTTTAGACCCCATTGGGAATTTGGCATCTGAGTGCTAAAGACAAGCACACTTCTGTGAGCTGTTTTCAGGTAAACCTGCAGCTGTGGGGCAAGTAATTCAGACTCTGGGTCTGTGTTGGAGCAGACGGGAGTGTCTGGCTCAGCAAGACAGGGTGCTGGAGTCCTGAGCTGGCAGGGAAAACAGGAATAGAAGTAGTCTTGGTACATTAGGTGGCAGCTCCCAAGGGGGTTTCTGTGATCCAATCCGTCACAGTATGCTTACTGGTCTAATTCCCCAGATCACTCTCAAGACCTTATTTTAAACATAGGTAAAACATTTGCTACCCTCAAACTCTCGGGAAAAGCAGCCATTTCAGGAAGACACTGCATATTTCTGTTAGCGGGTCAGCCACTTTATACTTAGACTTCTTCAGAACTCTTGGATGTCTACCATCTGAACCTGGAGAGCTACTGATTTTTAAAATCATCAATTTGTTCCAACATCTCTTCTTCTGACACCTTAGTCTTGGATAGTTCCTCATCTTTATTGCCAGAAAAGAGCAGTTCCAAGGCCGGTATCTCGCCAATATCCTCTGCAGCAAAGATCAATGAGCAGAAATCATTTAGCTTCTCAGCAACGTTCTTATTTTCCTAATTGCTCCCCTTAACCCACTGACTTCTTTACAGACTTCCTGCTTCTGACAAAGAATCTCATTTATTTAAATACACTTAAGACTTCACCATTGTGAAAGAGATTCTGGATTCCAACAAGACACCCTTTTCTACTGTGCCAATTTATACACCTTTTACAGTTCTCAAGTAGAGATTATAGTCCAACAGCAGAAGTGCTCACCTTTATACTGGTACATGTTTAAATATCTTAGCTATCAAAGCACGAAATGCACAAATGCATGTTACCATGAATAAATTAAGCAACTGAAAGTAAACAGTGTAAATATAAGAGGGTAGACGTACAACATGGGTGTATGTGGGTAAGGCTGGATCAAACTGATCTAAGTTCACAGCCATTAAAGTTTAACAGGAAGGCTGAATAAGGAAGAGAGGCGATAACAGTACTCCTTAAATTCAAGTATAAAGGGTATAGCTGCAGTCAATCCCTTGGAAGAGGGAGGAGTGTTTGGAGGCTGCAGACACATGTAGGCTGCAGTTGCTCCCTGGGAGGACAGAGCAGTGAGGAAGAGCCAGAAGATTAGGACAGGGCTCAGGGGAATGCAGCAAGGTATGGGTGGAACAGACCTCGACTGCTGATTAGAGGTCCCAGAGCAGGAACCCAGAGAAGAGGGTGGGCCCAGGTTCCACAACCAGTCAATGGGGAAGTAGCACCGGTCGGGCAGTGCATAGGAAAACTGCCTAAGCCTGCCTCGAGAAGAGACTTCCTTCCCCCTCCAGCGCCCAATTGGAAGGGGAACCATGACAGTGACCTAGCCAGAGGGTTGAGTCATGAAGAGGCCGCAGCAGCTCCTGGAGCAAAAGAGGGGCTGCAGACAAAGAGAGGAGGAGGGAAGGCTTGCAACTGTGGGGAGAGGTGTCAACCTGGTGAGCTATTTCCCAGAAAGACCAGGAGGGGGCGCTATACCTGCAGTGGGTAGAGCACCCTATCACAGCCCTCCAAGCCCAAATCTATTCTAGCTATCTATTGTAAAATAAAACTATTTACAAAATTTACAGGTAAGTGCTGAAGGATGCAGCAAATGCTGTGGACACTGAAGGGTTCCCCCTCAGACCATAGGAAGTTGAAAGGAACTGGAGAGGTGCTCGGTCCACACCGCCCCTTATATCCTAAGTTCAGAGCATGAGGCTGAGGGTCCAAAGGACACTGCTAGCAATAATCTTCCTGTCTCAGGTACACAGAGCGCATGAGTGCCCATAGTGAAATACACAGAGACCAGCACTTAAAGAACCACTTTCACTATCAAAGAGGCCATTATATACAGACATAGGCCTGAACTATGAAGTTCAGAACCAGATCAGCATTTCAATATTTCCACAGTTCATGAGTGTTCAGATTCAAGTTTGTTCTGAGCCTCTCTCTAGATGTAAAACAGTGGTAAGCTGTCACCAGTAGACTACAAAAAATAATTTTAACTTTGGGGGGATTGGGTAGTACATTCTACTAGATTATGCTGTGAAAAACCGAAGTTCAGTTTCACTACCATTTTCTGGGGCTAAAGTCCATTATGAAATCTTGAAAAACATCCCTTTAAAAAAAACAAACCTCCAAATACACAGAGTAATAAGTCTCTCTCCTTTGATTCATTACCCTGCATGTGATCAAGACATATATTTGTCTTCACACTACATCAGTCAAATTACTCTTGCCTAGATAAAAAGCCTATTTACACCTTGAGACCTCTTTTGAATACAGACAGGAGGCACAGGATCCATGGCTTTGTCACCTGTAGACTGGATTAATTTAACATGTTGTACATGGGGCTGGCACCTCAAGACCACCTGGAAATGGCACAAAATGCAGTTGTCTGATTAAGTGGTGGGTCCTGCAGGAAGCATATTAAATTTGTTCTCTGATATGACCTAGCTTCCAATTAGTTTCTGGGTAGCATTTAAAGATATTTGATTCCACCTATAAAGGCTCAACGGATTTGGGTCCTGTAAACTGAATCCACCTCTCACCTCCATACACATGGCACTACTGCCACCAAAGACAGCTCTCTGATACCAGTACGCTGGCAGGATTTGATTTGCCAGTCATCGGTAAATATCCATTTCACCAGCCAGACACAGCAACACAAAAAATCCAACAGTAAGAGTCAGCAAGTGCAGCCTCTCATACACTTAGTGTCTGCAGGAATCCAGTGTCACCATCCCAGCAGCTGTGTAGAGCGCCCTCTGTAGCCCCGCTGTCACAGCCTCTCGCTCACTCATGAACAGGAGTACAGGGCCCATCCCTGGGCAGGAGCCATTCAGCAGCGGGGTGGCCGCCCTTGCAGCTGGAGGCTCATCCTCCTCCTTGTGACCCTGATTGGGGGTCTCTGCTCTGCTGGGCCAGGACTGCAACCTCCCCCACACCTTGCACCCAGGGGGTGTCTCAGGTCCTTTGGCTGAGCTGAAAGGCCTTTGCAACCCTGCTGTCATCACCATCACCCTAATCCTACGCCCCCTTAATTTCCCACATCTGTGAAAATTAAAAGTTAAAAATAAACAAAGATAAAAATCAATATTAATGATCAAAATTACAGAAAAAGATAAAAACCAAATTCTGCCACACCTAGATACAGTTGACATCCTGGGGAAGAGAGAAAACCCTCTTCTTACCTGTTGTACTAAGTATGGTTGACAAAACATCAGCCAGCCCTGCAGAATGGAGACTCTTGATACCCATGATACAAAGCCTACTTGCAAGAATTTCAGACATTGTGGTCAGTGTTGAAGGAGTGTTGTATACTATACCATTACTTTTGAATATCTGCCATGCTCTCTCATACATCAGAAAGGAACCAGTTTCTAATTTGAAACTTCTGAACCTGGCCTATTTCTTTGCAATTAGGAGAGAACTAAGTAGAAGCCTGGGCTCTATTCCACTTCACAGCAGATGACAGATACCTTTATCAGTCTGATTCTTTCCTTGGTAGGATGTTGATCAAGATGGAATGAATTTGCACTCTGGGAACTGCTAGGTGCTTTTGAAAATGTTAACGCTATACCATTTAAATGACAAGTGCCTATGTCACTTCTTAAATGGGACTTGGGAGCTGACATCATCTAAGTCCCTTAGATGCTTTTTAAAATATGTTTACCCTCAGTTTTATTTTGAGCTCTTCAGAATATGGTTTATTATGGTCTGTTGTACTTGAACAGTTGGAAAAAATCTAGAAATAGTTGAAAAGTCTCTATAGCATTTTAGTAACTAACTTCAGCATGTACTTTTTTCATGAATGAGTAGTTTTTTCCCCTTTAGTTCTTGAGTTATTATGAGGTAGTTGGGGGCTTTTTAAAATACAGAACTCAAGTGTACAGAGGTATTTTCACTGTGGCAATAAACGTTAAAACTCTATGGAAGAGGTATGACTCAAAGGTAAATTAGCTTTTAAAGTAACATTTTTACCCTTCATACTAGGAATTAGGATTTCTCTCAGTGCATATCTCACTGACAGCAAGAGGGCACAGCACAACCAGCAGCACATAATGCTGATTATTCTTAAAGTTCAGAAACATCACTGACCAAAATAGCTGGTACATGACCACAAAAATAGCTGCAATATCTCTCAAAAATACCTCTGAGCAATACCTTTGGGGATGATATTCAGAAACGGCATCTATGATTATACGTGCAGTAGAATGATGAATTCTCATATTTATATGTTCTTTCCTCCAAAAATAGTTCAAAGTACTTTATACGCTAGTCTTACAAGAACATACCTCTTAAGTGTCCCTCATTTTGAGAGATGTCATTTATTTTAGTCCCCAAATTATGTGAATTCCACACAAATATGATGGTCCCTCACTTTTACTGTGGCAAGTTATTTTCTTCAGAAATGTAACATCACAAAACTGAGGTTAAACAAAGATTTACACCAAAGGGAAAAAGGCATCCTTCATTTTGGGTCTTTGTCACATGCTACATCCCACCTTTGGGGTCCATGGTATTAACATTCTCTAAACCATTTTAAAAGCAAATTGCAATACTACACAATAGCGTAGCACACAAAATAATGATTATTATTAATGCAAAGTGAAATTAAGTAGTCAGATTGTAATTACCCAAATTGGAAGCTAGTCGGGACACCAGCATTATTCTGAAGATAGGTGGTGGGTGTGGGTGGGTGGGTCACCCATTCTAGAGATGACACACCTCCATTGCCTCCAGCACCATTGGTTCTGTATTGACTCAGATGTGAAAATGCCACCTATTAAATCCCCAATAGTACTGCATTCAGCAACTTGGTTTTCCTTGTAGATCTTGGCCAATAGGGTCACTTTAACCTCACAATGCCCAAGTTCATGCCAAACCCAACAATTTAAGTCAACAAGAAATGCCGAAAAGGAAAAGTCTTTATCCTGCAGTAGACTGAAACTAGCTATTGATAACAAAGGTACAGCAACAATGAACACCTTCTGTAGCAAATAAACTATTTACTAGTAGGAATATAATTTATTTCCACAGAAAGGAACTGTCAGATGTAAATTATTACTTATTAACTGTTTTGCAGTAGCACCTAGGAACCTAGTTATGGGTCAGGGCCCAATTGTGCAAGACACTGTGCAAACACACAAAAAGACTCCCTGCTTCAAAGAGCTTATAAGTGCTATATATTCTGCCTTTGTTTGCATACGCAAAGGAATTCTACTAGCAAATTTCAATACTATTCATTTACTTAACAGGTACTTCAGAACACACATTAAACTTTTAAAAAAGAACAGGAGTACTTGTGGCACCTTAGAGACTAACAAATTTATTTGAGCATAAGCTTTCGGGGGCTTTTAGTTTGTAAAGCGGTGGTAATCCCAAATCTCCTCTACTGCTGTGAGATTTAGGTGTCCTATAGAAAACACCTGGAACGCCAGCACTAGCACTTTCTTCGGAAGATCCTCTACATAAGGTGGGAGGATCACCACACTAATGTCAAGTGTCCTCACAGAGGCCAACATCTTCAGTGTTGAGGCCCTGATTATCCAGCACCAGCTGAGGTGGTGCGGGCACTGTGTGTGCATGACTGACACACTTACCAAAACAACTGCTCTATGCCCAACTCACCAAAGAAGAAAGGAAACGGGGAGGCCAAAAGAAACACTTAAGACACCCTCAAAACATCAAGAGATGTGGCTTTGACACCAGACACTGGGAGACAGCAGCCCAGGATAGGGATAACCGGCGAAGACTTGTCAGAGAAGGAATGTCCACTTTTGAGGAAAATCGCCTTGCCCTGGTCACAGAAAAATGCCCGGGAGGGGAGGGGGGGAGGAGAACAGACGACTGTCACCCAGCAATCATGGCCCAACCCTGTCTTTCAACACCACCCGCAACGTCTGCCAACCAGACTGTGGCAACAATCGGACTCCACAGTCACCATAAAAAATAAAACTTGTGAAAGAATCATTCTCAACCTTGAAGAATTGCCAAAGACAACAACTTGCTAACAAACATTTCTTAAAGATCCAGTATAAAACAAGCTCTTTTTAACAAACAGCATTTTGTATACATCACTAAAAGCCAAGAATTTAGTTTTCTATATTTTTTGTTTTTAACATTTCACTTTCCAGCAAATGCATAGCCATTTCTCTCTAACAAAAAATGCCATGCTGTTCTTGGACTCCGCATAATGCTATTTAAAGAACGCTTTCAGAACTACCGCAATTGAGCATGCTTTACACAGTTAACAAAAGCGTTTTACCTCTCTGCCAGTAAGGATGTGTCTAGCCAACTTTACTTTTGCAAAATTCCCCTTTCCAATCGTTTTAAGAAGTCTGTAATTTCCAATATGAGGTTGCTCATCTGCACAGGAAGCTATAGAATTTCTACAGCGAGCTCCAGAGCGCCCAGTTCGAGAGGAAACTTCTTGACGTCCTTCTCCATGAGAGGTGTGCTATGATAAAGATATAATACATGTGTAAGATAAAAAGTGTTAAATAAAACAAGGGTATCATTTACAAAAAACAAGTACTGAAGTGTTACATATAACTGAGTAATTAACTTGAACTGGAGAAATTTCTGTTTTACAGCAATCTAGAATTATACATTTTGCGTGTCACTAGTATAGCTGATCCACACACACACTCTCTTTCCTTATGGGCCTATATGACTGCTTTCACAATTTAACAACTCTCTTCTTGTTCTTTTCTTTTCTAATAAATCTTTAGTTTTAGATACTAAAGGACTGGCTGGCAGTGGGGTATTTTGGGTAAAATCCAAACTAATATTGACCTGGTAATGTGGCTGGCCCTTTAGTGTTCAGAAGAACCTTTTGTATAGTGAGCAGAGTTATAAATAACTTCTCACTTTACTGGACCTAGGTGTTGATCAGGAGCTAGAGAACTGGAATGCAGTAAAGGGGGTTGTGTGATTTCTTTTTTCAGCTTCTTGATAACCAGTGTGGGGGACCAAGAGCACAGTTTGCGATTGGTCGGTGAATCTAACAGCGTTCATCTCCAGTTTGGGAGAATCTGCTCTCTTTTTTGCAGCCTGCCCTGACCTTGCATTTTCAGTGAGGACTACCCTAGGTACCCTGGGTCAAATAAGGAAGGATGGGGTTGCTCTGAAGAAACTGTTCCATAGGCTGAGTTTGCTGCCTCCTCAAAGTGTTTTTTAAAATGCTCCCAAACAAGATCTAGTTGAAAAAAAAATGGAAAACTATTCCTGTTGCATTTTTTTAAAACCTTTTTGTTCATTTTTTTTTAAACTTTCTGATTATCTGTATCCTGAACTCACTAGTACAGTACTGTAGCACTTTCTCATGGCAAGGAACCAACAATATATATCATTTGTTAACTGTTAGCTAAATGTAAAACCTTCAAGCTATTTTCTGCTAAAAAAAACTTTGCTATAACAGAAATGCTGCAATGCCAACAAATACATTTTTGTATAGCCACAAACTTTAGAACGAGAACTTCAATTATCCTGGAAAATAGCCACTAATAATCTGGGTTTAATTGTCAAATCCTATCATGCTGGTATTTGTTTCAAGGCCTTTGGACCAATTGCTCATTCTGAAGTAGTACTAGTGTTAGCATGTATCTAATAAGTCTATATGGGAAAGGAGGATTCAATGCATTTGAGTAATCAGTCGGTTCAATTTAGTGCCATGGAAACTGACTGCCATCCTCTTGCACAGTTGCCAACTTTAGAGGAGTGCCCTGAATTACATCTCTCAGACAAGACTGAAACCAGTGAGCTTTTGCTGGGAGGGTCTACCACAGCAGGGTAGGGTAGAAGCGAATCTGGGTTTTGGTCCCAAGTCTCTCCTCCTTCCCACCATGTGGTCTCACTTGGGGTACGTCTTCACTTACCGGAGGGTCCGGCGGCAGGCAATCGATGTTCTGGGATCGATCCCGGAAGTGCTCGCCATCGACGCCGGTACTCCAGCTCGCCGAGAGGAGTACGCGGCATCGACGGGGGAGCCTTCCTGCCGCGTCTGGACCCGCGGTAAATTCGGACTAAGGTACTTCGAATTCAGCTACGTTATTAACGTAGCTGAATTTGCGTACCTTAGTCCGAAGTGGGGGCTTAGTGGGGACCAGGCCTTGGATGCATAAAATAATATGGGACCCCTTGATATACCAAATTAATTCAGACAACACAAATCCATAAGAGGTATTTTGTGAGGAGGTGAAACCTCTTTCCATGCTTATCTTCCCGCATCTCTTTTCCATTTATGATTTAAAGGAAACTCTATAAAACAAAGTCTTATTATGGCTTCCTTGTTTTTGTTCTTCCTTCATTCCTTTTCCTGAGGATGGATTTATTTTAATCACTGAGTTCAATAATTATTTAAATCAGCAAGCAGGAAACCTTGACATAAATAATCAATTTTAATATTATTTTGCATTTGTACTTTTTTTAGTTATTTTCCTAAAGCCAGATCACAATACATACATGTTGATTTGTAACTAAATATAGTCTTTACACTAAATTCAGTACTACTTTTGGCTAACTAAGAGGGTATACTATATCTACATACATTTAAGCAATTATATAGTTTAACATACATTCAGTCTTAATTTTTAAATTGTTAGAAAATGTAAATGGTGTGTGTGTATATATACACACACATACGACAAATGTGTTATATATATATATATATATTATATATTACACATGATGGGTTGAGCAGCATTTGAATGGAAATTGGAATGCAATTAAACATGCACAAAAACAGCATTTCAGAATTATCACTTGAATAAAACTACCTTTAATATGTTGAATGCATAAGAAAAAAAAGTTTATCAAAACATGTTTCTCATTAAAATTGATTTATTAAACAAAAGGAACTATTATCTGTAGTTAATTGAACTGTTTCCGGTCACCATGTTCTTCAGGATTTTAGAACTAATAGATTTCATATTTTTATGCCTCGTTTTGATTTATGGATTCAAAGAAGAAAACAAAGCTTTCTCAACTTTGATGGACTAGTCCTTGAACTGAACTAGTAGAATAAACTGAGAAGAACAAAATATTCTCTTTGCACCTACAAAAGCAGGGCTACTGCTATCAAAAGCTGGTTTAGCACTTGAACAAACTCTGGATCCAGGTGCTTAACCACTAACTTCCACCAGTTCAGGGGTCCGACTGCGTTTAAAATTTTGGCAGCAAATATATACTGCTTAGATTTTTTTTTACATTTAATTTTAATGATTGATTGTAGATAATTTAGGCTTTAACATAGGTTGCCATATTTCAGATTTAATATTAAGTGTAATTTTTAAATAAAAATGTATTTAAATTAAAAGAACCTTTAAAAAAATCAATTTGTATCCACCCTGTTTTTCCTACTCTCCATTTACCCAATATTTTTATGTATCCTCTATACTGTCCATCCCAACCCACAGGACGTAAACCATACACACCTTTCACACTCGGGTATCTAAACACAGTCCCCAACCACAAGTTCTTGCTGCCTAGCTTGTGTCCCTCTGCTGTCATTTCCCTGTTGGCGCTGCCCATCTCAACCTCCAATGTGGCTCCCAGCCAGTCACCTCTCCCTTCAATTCCTCACTCTGCTTGCAGCTTCTACTACTCTTCTAGCTGGGGGCAGCCTAAAACCCAGTGCCCCAGCAATCCTCACTGAACTGGAAGAATCACTCCAGCAGAATTCTATTTTGCTTCAAGCTCAGCTACATGCACGAGATCACAAATGGACTGCAGGAGTGACAGGGCTGCAAATGCACAAGTGTCAGTTGCAACACATAATGCTTAGCTCCTTTCATAGATTTTAAGGACAGAAGGAATCACTGTGATCATTTAGTCTGATCTACATAACACAAGCCATAACCCTACTCTGAATTAACTCATACTTCAAGTCCAAAACCAGCGGTTGAACTAGAGTATAACTTTTAGAAAAACATTCAATCTTGATTTAAAAATCTCCAGTGATGGACAATCCATTACAACCCATGGTAAGTTGTTCCAATAGTTAATTACATCTACTGTTAAAAACCTGTGCTTTATTTCTCATCTTAATTTGTCTAGCCTCAACTTCCAACTACTGGATCTTTTTATACCCTCTCCAATTTATCAACATCTTTCTTCATTGTGACCACCAGAACTGGACACAATATTCCACCAGTGCCAAATATAGAGGTAATAGAACTTCCATACGACTACTCAATAACCCTTTTTTTACATGCAAGAATTGCATTAGCCCTTTTGGCCATTGCATCACACTGGGCGCAGCTTATGTTCTGCTGATTAGCCACAAAGACGCCCCACATCTTTTTTTAGAGTCCCTGTTTCTGGAGAATAGTGTTGCCCATCCTGTAAATAAAGAACAAAAAATGCAGGACGAGGTGAATGATCTTACATTTGGCCGTATTGAAACGCATATTGTTAGCCTGAGCCCAGTTTACCAAGCAATCTAGATTGATCCGTATCAGTGATTTCCTCTTCATTATTTACCACTCTCCCAATCTTTACAATATCTACAAGCTTTATTGGTAATGATTTTACATCTTCTTTCAGCTCATTGATAAAAACATTAAATAATGTAGGGCCAAAGAACTGATACTTGTGGGGTGCCATTATAAATACATGTGCTCAATAATGATTCCCTCTTTAAAATTAAAAACTTGTTTAATGACAGGTCTCAAAATGTAATCTATTTAATGTATGCAATGTTGATTTTGAATCCTTCCAGTTTCTTAATCTTGTCATGAATTTCCAAGTCAAATGCTTTATACAGACATCTAACTATATCACATTAACCAACCTGTAATCTCTTCTAAGTTCTATTTTTCATAACCCTCTGCTGACAGGCACTACATGTTACTGTCCTTCAATTCTTCAGTAATTGAGTCCTATCTGAGATAGTCCATCGTTTTGCTTGGGCCCAATTCAGGCCTATAATTACCCAGGTTGTTCCAGAGGACAGAAAGAAAGCCAGTGTTCCAAGACTTACTGAAAACCAACAGTAATGGTCCAGTAAACTCAGCAGCCAATATTTTCAAAACTCTTGGATGCAAGTTGCCTACAGCTGCTGATTTTAAAAGGTCTAACTTTAGTGGCTGCTATATAATTAAGAAAATTATATAATTAAGAAAAATCAGGGGAGGGATAGCTCAGTGGTTTGAGCATTGGCCTGCTAAACCCAGGGTTGTGAGTTCAATCCTTGAGGGGGCCATTTAGAGATCTGGGGCAAAATCAGTACTTGGTCCTGCTAGTGAAGGCAGGGGGCTGGTCTCGATGACCTTTCAAGGTCCCTTCCAGTTCTAGGAGATAGGATATCTCCATTAAATTTTAATAATAATTTTTTTTAATTTTAAGAAGGATGTTATTGTTGGCATAGAAAAGTGTTTTAACATCATATGACATGAATACATCATCTGGCTTTTTCTCAAATACAGAACAGAAATACAATTTTCTGCAATTCCTAGCTTATATTCACTGCTTTCACTCTCCCCATTTAGCTATATCTATCTATCTATCTATCGATGTATCAATTTCCACTTTTTTATACCTGCTTTCACTTCCCCTCTAATACAAGCTGTTTTTTTAACCTGTGTATCCTCTCTCAATGGTGCTTTTTGGACATTCAGTAAAATGTTCTTATACAGTTCCCAATTACCATTCTCTCCACTCAACTGATTTGGCTCAACTGCTTTCAGCTTTGTGAAACTGACCCATTTGCAGCACCAAATATATCGACATTACTGGTTTGGAATTACTTTGTTTGCACATAAAAAATGCAACCAAATCAATCACAGAACTAAAATTAGGGGTTGCTTAAGTGCAAGTGATCAATTCGTCTCTCTCGCGGTCAAGATCAGGCCTAATATTGAATTCCCCTGGGTTGGATGCAACACTGAGTTAGGAAACTTACTCCTGAGGGAATTCTGCACCAAAAAGATTAAAAATTCTGCACACAATATTTTAAAATTCTACAATTTTTAGTGGTCAATAAATAAATATGGAGGCTCCAGCATAGCAGCAGGGAGCACAGGCCACTGGCTGCACAGAAGTGGGAGATCACTCTGCAGCTTCCCTGCTCCCAGGGCACTGACTCAGCGGTTAGGCTGCACCCAATCTGGATACAGTGCAAGGGCCAGGCCTGCTCCATAAACACCCCAGGACCCTGCCCCTCTGCAGCAGGCAGGCTCAGCCCAGCAAAATCTAAGTGTGGAGGGGCTTAGTGTCGGGGGAACAAGGGTGGGTTGAGAGGGTTCTGTGTGGGGCAATCCGAGTGCAGGTGGCTCAGTGGGGGTCCGGATGCAGGGGGGATCAGGATGCACAAGGGCTCATTGGGGGGTTCCAGGTGAAGGGGCTATGGGACTCTGCAGACGGTCCAGGTTAAGGTGGATATGGCTCAGAGGAAGGGTCTGGGGGGGGATGGGGCTCAGCAGGGGGCTCTGGATGTGGGGGCTCAGTGGTGTTAGGGGAGTGGGGCTTGATCGAGTGGGGGTCTGGGTGCAGCTGGTTGGGACTCAGTGGGTTGGGGTCTGGGTGGTCCAGGTGCGGAGCTCATCAGGGTGGGGATTTGAGTGCAAGGGGCTCAGTGGGGGATGGTCTGGGTGCAGGGGTCCGGATGCAGAGGGGGTAAGGCTCAATGGGAGGAAGTGGTATTGGGGGTCCTCCGAGTGCAGGGGGTGAGGATCAGTGGGGCAAAGGTTCAGATGCAGCGGACTTGGTGGAAGGATTCTGGGTGCAGGGGGTGAGGCTCGGTGGAGGGAGTCTATGCACGGGGGTTGGGCAGATGGGGAAGCAGCTCCCCATACAGTGACCACTCCCTACCGTGGCTGAAGAGCAATGGGGGCAGGAAGTGGGGAGGGTACGGTGCTTCCTGCAGCTGGAGGAGGTTTCTGGAGGTGGGTCTGACCCAGACCCAGCCACTCCTTGCAGGGGAAGAGCAAGTCCCATCCTCTCCTGCCTCTAGCCCAGTCAGAACTAGCAGCTGAGCCCGGTGCAGGGTAGGAGCCACTGGCTGGAGAGTCCCCGCCCCCACCTAACCCCTCAGTGATTGACCTCTCTGCCAGCTGCTCTGGGCACCTGAAATGACGTGCCCATGCTGCTGGGGAGGGGCAGGTGATCACTCTTGCGGCTTCCCTGTGAGAAAGTCATTTTTCTGCCGGGAAGAAAAGAAATCTGCAGGGGACATGAATTCTGCGCAGACATAATGGCGAAGAATTCCCCCAGAAGTAGAAAATGACATCTATAATTTTTTTTATAAATTCCAGCATGAGATCTACTTCTGCTTGTGAAACTGATGGTAGAGCAGAGGGCCTGACACTGTACAGGTATAATGCAAAAGGCAGGGATATCAATTATCAAAGAATTCTGTTCCTGTGCACCCTTTCAGAGCTGTAAAATGCTAAACAATTAAATAAGTCCCCCTCTCATATGAAAGGGTAATTATTCCTCTATTCCATCTTCCTGAAGTATCTGATTTACACTAGCTTTCATTTTCTCAGCTAGGGCAATTTTCCACACAGTAACTTGGATGAACTTGCTAAATTAAGATGCAATTTTTTGTTAAAAGCGGGATGATGCAGCGGCATATTAAGAGTAGATGAAGGCTCATTAATTGTGATGGCGACAAAAGCCACCTGTTAAGTTATAATTCTTACTACTTCAATCAAATCACCTTTTAAAAAAATGTCAACGTTTATGGCTACTAAATCCTCAATACGAGTTCCTATGAAAATACACTTTTTGTATTAAATTTGAGAGTATGATTTTTTTTTAAATAGCCCAAGCCTTCACTCCATGGATGAAGAGGACGTTTGCATGTACTCTTCTTTCAATGCATGTAGCAGAAGTCATTAGGGTAGCACAAGGTGACCAACAGGCAAAGTTCCTTCTGCTACACTGGGTCTCCACATGTCGGAATAAAGGACAAGAAATCTCCTCTACCACCTATCCAAAGCATTCACACAGGAGCAGAGGGTAATTGATCCAAAAAGTCACTGCTTGTTCAGGAAAGCCTGGAGAAGCTGAGAAGCAAGAGAAGTAGAACAGTATCTCCTATCCTGCTAATGGAGTTAACCACTTCCCCTGGCAAGCAGCATAGCTCACAAGCTGCTTTCCTGACCAACTGCTTCAATGCATTGTTAACCCACCAGCACATCCCCGCCCCTCCCCTCCCCCCAGGCTTATCCTTAGAGAAGCAGTTTGTTTTTTTCACAGGCACAGTCCCAACCTAACACATGCAGTTCTGCCCACTGGTTTTCATCTAGTAAGGGCTTCTGTAACAGCCCCAGCCTTCAACCAGAAAGTGAAGGGCAGGCTGGGGACATTTAATAACTTTTAAAGTCACAAATAAAATATTAATATTTTAACCTAATTTAGGGTTATATTAGCAATTAACCTTTTTTTTAAAATTAAATGACTGGGGTGTTAAACATGTGGAAACAATTTTAAAAAATGTTAGGCTCTTCTACAACACTCACCACAGCAGAGTGTCATAAAATGACTTTATCTTCACATCATGGTCAGTTAAGGAACAACTGCATTGTCCTACAGATGGCAAACTGAGGCACAGAGAGACTGTCTAACCAGAGATCACACAGGAAGTCTGTAGCACAGCCAGTATTAAAATGTGTCTCCTGAATTCCAGTTCAGCACCTTATTCACAAATCTATCCAATTTTCCATGTCTTGATACATGCAGTGCCCTAATCCAAAGTCTTAATCTTCAAACTTAATCTTAGAAACCACTTCTCCATTTCCAACTCAAAGAGACAGCTTTACTCCACGCGGATTCTGACTCCAGGAAGATATTTAAGGAGAAGGATCCCAGGACCTCCCAGTTGTTAAACACCTTACTGCAGGAGATCTGATTGAGTCTAAGCTTTCAGAACACAATGCAAAACCCACCTTTTCGCAAAGGCCTTCCCCCAGTGAAGAGACGACATCCTTTCTCAAGGTCAGATAATGATAAGCATGAAGAGAAAAAAAGAAAAAAGAAGAAAAGGAAAAAAGGAAAAGCAAATAAACCATGGAGGAGCAGACAGTTGACATTCCTTTGGACAATGTTAGCTCTACATTATAGCTAAATATTCAGAGCTTAGACACCACGATGGGTGCATCCGAAACACTCAAGACAGAGGATGATTAAATTCACTAATTAGTAAGATTCCAGAGTTAAATATAGTACTCTAGGAAGTTGCTAATAGAGCTGGGAAACCTGGGGTAAATGGAACTTTATTTTAAATTCTTCAAGTGGGCATAAAGTATTAGACTACACACAGGGTTTGGGAAAAAAAATGTACGTGCTCACTCAGGCTTTCTATGAAGCTTTGTTGAGAGGGCGGCCCAATGATATCAATTTCTACAGAACCAAAACTGTCTTTTAAAAAATTGAAGCCTCTAGCTCATGTGGTTATGACAACAGCCTTCCACATAGCAAGCAAACGTAAGCTAATATATAGTGCTGTCTTCCAAAGTCTGTTGACATCTCCATTGCCTCTGCTGTGACTCATAGCTTTGTGCTACAGCAAAGTAAAGTGACCTGACTTGTCAATTTTTATGGCTGCTATATAGAACCCTCTGGAAAGTAATGGAGCCAATAAAAATCATGTCAATTTAACTAGCTGCACCACGTGTGCTTTTTTACATTTCAATGGAAAAACGTTAAAAATCCCATTCCCTGCAGTGTTTATAATTCAAACATCATGCAAATATTTGAGAAATTAAGTAAAACTGAGGAACTGACTCGTTTTTTTATTGTCCACGCCCAGATACAGAAAGCAAACATAACAAATTGGATGTTTGAAATTCAATTTCATAGTAACCTAGTGTTATTCATAATATAGGTGAAGTGGGGGGAAAAAAGTAGACCATTCCCATTTAATAAGTCACATTATGAAGTTACTGGAAATATTAGAGCACCATAAGGTATTTAAGCCCAGGTTCACTCCCCTCATTCACACTGAGTAGTAGTACCTTTACCTTACTTCACACATAATCCAACTGACATTTATGGGACTATGCATAGTACTATTCAACATGAATAAGGACTCGGGACAGAATCTGGCCCCTACGGCATTAGCAGAAGTACATAGTTTAACTCCTGAGGGCATTCTGCACCAAAATACAAATTCTGCACCCATTTTAAAATTCTGCAAATTTTATTTGTCTAATGTGGAGGCTCCAGCATGGCACTGGGGAGCACAGGCCACTGACTGCACAGAGGTGGCATATCACTGTGCAGCTCTGCCCTGGGACATGGGCTCAGTGGGAGGCTGCACCCAACCCTGACACAGCACAAGGACTGGGCCTGCCCCAGAAACACCCCGGGGCCCTACCCCTCCACGTGGGCAGGCAGGCTCAGCAAGGCAGGATCCAAGTGTGGAGGGCCTTAATGTGGGGGTTGAGAGGGTTCTGTGTGGGGCAATCTGGGTGCGGGGGGAATCTGGATGCATAGGGTCTTGTTGGGGGGGTTTTGGGTGCAACAGTAATGGGACTCTGAAGGGGGGGTCCAGGTGAAGGTGGTTGGGGCTCAGCATGAGGGGTCTGGGCGTGGGGAGCTCAGTGGGGGGTCCAGATGCTGGGGGAATGGGGCTCAGTGGAGTTGGGATCCAGGTGCAGCTGGTTGGGGCTTGGTGGAATGCAGATGGCTCGTCGGGATGGTCCAGGTGCAAGGGGAGTGGGGCTCATTGGGGGAGGGGTTCTGAGTCAAGGGGGGTGAGGCTCAGTGGGAGGGTCTAGATAAATGAGGGGGTCTGGATGCACAGGGGTTGGGCAGATGGGGGAGCAGCTCCCTGTACAGGGATCCCTCCCCCTGCAGCTGAGGAGTGATGGGTGCAGGAATCGGGGGGGGGGGGGGAGGAGAGAGTTTGCAGAGCTTCCTGCAGCTGGAGGAGAAATCTACGGGGGGGTCTGACCTGGCCCTGGAAGCCATGCAGGGGAAGAGGAAGTCCTGTCCTCCCCACCCCAGCAGTTGAGCCCGGCGCAGAGTAGGAGCCACCAGCTGGGTCTTCCCCAGTCCCACCTCCTGCCCTACAGTGATTTACTTCTCTGGTGGCTGCCCTGGGCACCTGAAACATACTTCTGGGGAGGGTCGCATGACCACTCTTGTGGTTCCTTTTGCTTCCTCATCAGAAAGTCATTTTTCTGCAGGGAAGCAAAGAAATCTGTGGGGGACATAAATTCTCCACATGCACAGTGGCGCAGAATTCCCCCGGGGGTAATTGTTTATACATGTGGAATCGCACCATTATGGTCAATGCAACCAAATAGAGCATATAAACGTTAGGGCAGAATTTGACCAAAGAAGTGAATAAAGGAACCTTCTATCACTAAACCACAAGCATTTAGTAAGATGGTTAGGATGGTTCCAAGTCGGAGTCTTGCTCTCAAAAAGGAAACAATTCATTGTGCAAATACGTTACTGCCTCAGACAGATAATCTCCTGCCATTTGTCCAACTAGTATGACACTCAATGAAATTGACTGGCCAGTTAAACAAGGTCACACTTGCCAAACATCAATCAGTTTAAAAAAAAAAAGAGAAATTAATCTTTAGTACAAGTAGCCTAGACATCATGACATACCCCTAATTCTCCCAACCGCCGGGGTGGTGGTGGTGGTAAATAATTGAATTGGGGACACACCCACTTAGTCTCAGCAAACATGACAGAGCCCCAAAACACTGCATTCAGTAGACATGCGAGGGCTAATAACATTGACTGGCCAACAACAGGATGTGTGATGCCCTGCCATATGTGGCAAAGAGATTTCCATCCCTCAAATGTTGTGTTAGCTCTGCGTGAGAAATACTAATAACTGTGTAGGACAACGAACGAGTTCTGTGGACAGAAGCTCAGTGAAAAAAGCTGGTTATCATAACACCAAAGACCCAAAATTGGAAATAATTTACTAATTAAGGCTCAGTAACCATAGACAAAAGACAAATTGCTTTTGTAGGGCAATAGGCTACTAAGAGGGCTGCTACTCTGCCTAGGAGACCCCTTCCGGTGTAGTCACACCCCTGATTTCTCTCAGTTCCATCAGACACAGCAAATGATCAGGGTGAGCTATACTCCATATATATAAAAACAGAAGTGTATTTTGTTGTCTAGTGCTAATCATGGGTTACAAAACCCAATGTAGGAATCCTGTTTAATACAAAATACACCAAAGTGTGGCAGTGTTTAGAAAATAAACTTTTTTAAAAGCACTTGATACTCACATATCTGGATCTGAAATTTATTGTATTTTCCAAGTAATATTTGCTTTATTTACTGACCAAAATGAATATTTACTGACATAAGCACTGGAGAGTAGTAGCTGAAGAGGAGCAAGCCACATTCTACTCTGTATCATCAATAAAATTGCCAACTAAGTTGGTTCCAGAATCATCGTTAGTAATTATGAATGAATCAAAAAGGACCCAGACACCAGGTCAAGCTTGCTGTTAGAAAAACCTTGTTTAGATTTTTGCAGGAACAAATCTGATATAAAAGCTTAGATACGCAATGGCTCAAAAAGATGCCATTTTAGAAGACACATACTTTGACCCATAAATATACTTATTAAATTGGACCCCAAGAGAAAGTCATTTAAATCAATGGGTGCTCAGCACCCCTCAAAATCAACCCCTAAGTGCATATATAGTCTATTAGGCCTATCTCCATTGCAGTTCAACTTCTACAAATTTAAGGGGAGGACATTCACCACTCTAAACATAACGAGGTAGCATTCTCCCATCCTCAAAAGAAGCTTGATTAGACTTGGTCTACACCAGCAACTTATGTACATGTACGCCGCTCAGGGATAGGGAAAATCCATACCCCTGAGTGATAGCAACCAACTCTCAGGAATGGAATACCTATACAGACAGGAGAAACCCTCCCATCAGCGTAGGTGGAGTCTTCACTAAGGGCATGGCTACACTTGCAGATGTAGAGCGCTTTGAGTTAAACCAGCCTTCGTAGAGCGCAGTAGGGAAAGCGCTGTAGTCTGTCCACGCTGCCAGCTGCCAGCACACTGTTGTGGCCACATTAGCAGCTCTTGCAATGGCCACAGAGAGCAGTGCATTGTGGTAGTTATCCCAGCATGCAAGTGGCTGCAACGTGCTTTTCAAATGGGGGGGGCAGTGTGACAGGGAGTGAGTTGTGTGTATGTGGGGGGAGAAACTGGGTTTTTGGGGGGCTGAGAGCATGTCAGCATGCTGTCTTGTCTGAACTTACAGCAGCAGACACCTCACCCCCCGCCCCCCTCTCTCACACACAGAGCATTCCACAGTAATGGTTGCTTTGTCTCGGAGCAGATAAGCATGCCGGCTGTCAAACAGAGCTTTCAAAGGGCATATCCAAAACAATAACAAGAATGGCCACTTGACTTAAGGGGATTATGGGACATTTCCAGAGGCTGATCAGAGCACAGTAATACAACACTTCATTCACACTGACGCTGGGGCACTCCAGCAGGGGCGCATCAAATGTTATTCTACTCGCCGAGGTGGAGTACCAGCAGCACTCTAGCCGTGGAGTCAGAGCACTCTACATGCCTTGCCAGTGTGTACAGGTAGTGAGCTAGTGCGCCTGGGGCTCCTTTAATAGACTCATAGACTTTAAGGTCAGAAGGGACCATTATGATCATCTAGTCTGACCGCCCGCATGATGCAGGCCACAAAAGCTGACCCACCCACTCCTGGAATAATTCTCTCCCTTGACTCATTTGCTGAAGTCCCCAAATCGTGATTTAAAGACTTCAAGTCGCAGAGAATCCTCCAGCAAGCGACCCCTGCCAAGCAAGTGACCCCTGCCCCATGCTGCGGAGGAAGGCAAAAAACCTCCAGGGCCTCTGCCAATCTACCCTGGAGGAAAATTCCTTCCCGACCCCAAATATGGCGATCAGCTGAATCCCGAGCATGTGGGCAAGATTCTCCAGCCAGACCCTCTGGAAAAAGTT